AAGACTCAAGCATCATAACTATGTACAAGAACGAGGGTGGTCAGAGTGACTGCAACAACTACAGGGGAATATCACTGTTGTTGGAAAAGTAATACGAGAATTGTTCTAAGAAGACTCCAGATCCTAGGAGACCAGGTTTACCCAGAGTCATAGTGTGACTTTTGTGGAAACATGTCTACCACTGATATGAAAGTCCTATTTTGATAGTTGCAGGAAAAGTGCTGTGAACAAAATCAACCACTGTATATTTCTTTTACTGATCTTACCAAGGCATTTGATTTAGTTAGTCGAAAAGGTCTGTTCAACACACTGAAGAAGATTGGGTGTCCATCTACCTTACTAAATATTATTAAGTCTTCCACACAGTTATGAAAAGTACAATCAATTTTGATGTTGTAACATTAGAGGAGATTGTAATCAACAATGGAGTGAAGCAGGAATGTGTACCTGCATCTACCCTCTTTGGAATATACTTCTCATTTCTTTTGAAATATGCCTCTGGAAATTAGGAGGGTCTATATTCATCCATTCTCGATCTGATGGCAGCTTCTAAAATGCTTGTAGGCTGAAAGCCATGAGAGCTGATGTTTGCAGATGATGCAGCAATTACCAATCATTCTAAAGATGAATTGCAATGTTAGTTACTATCTGTATTTGCTCCTGCATGCTGTGAATTTGGACTAGTGATCAGAAAAAAGAAAAATGAAAAAGAAAAGACAAAAATTATGGAGAATGGTGTTAATGACAGTCCTGCAGTCTATACTGATAAAGAGCTGGAGACAGATAACCATTTCAAATATCCGGGATCCACAGTGAATAACACACTATCGCTGGACCAAGAATCAACATCAGGCTAGGTCAGGCAGCAACAATAATGAGCAGATTAACAAAAAAAGAGTTTAGGAGAACAGAAAGCTCATGATTTAAACAAAACTCTTGTCTACCAGGCTTGTGTTTGCAGCAATGTTCTTTATAAAAGTGAAACCTGGTAAAATTATTCGCACCAGAAGAAATGGCTAAATAGTTTTCACATGTGATGCCTAAGAAGAATGTTTGTTGATAAGTAGCAAGATAAGACACTGAGGTATTGGAAAGAGTAGATATTACAACAGTTTTCTCAATACTCAGTCTACACAGGGTCAGGTGGCTGGGTCCCACCTGGACTATGGAGGATGGTTAAGTCCCTAAGAATATCCTCAATGGTGAATTAAAGATAAGCAGAAGATGTTGAGGCCAGCCTCTACAATAATACATAGATATGTGCAAGCTGTACATGAATGATACAGGTATTGAGGTAGATTCGTGGGGGTTGGGGGGGGGGGGGGGGGGGGGGGGAATGCCAAAAGCCATGTTGCGCATAAGGGGCGAACCAGGAAAGGAATGAAAAGGATGAGAGCTGAGCGTCTGAGAAGAAACACGTGATGGCAGCAATGGTTAAAAAATCTCATACTCTAATCGTGGAAAACTGTGATCCCCTTCCTCTTCATAGCACAATATAACACTATTGTCTGGAAAGACAGAAATATGCCAACAACTAACTATATTCCCTTTATGGATAAAATTTAGGTATCAAATAAGCCAATGTCTATGATAAATTACCTGAGGGAAACAACTGTATTTGGCTTCCCTGTAATGGTCCAGGTGTAGTTGACATAGTCAGGGTATCTGTTGGGGAATCCTTGACTCTGAATAGAGCCCTGCTCGTCTGAGAGAGTTTTACCCCAGTCTGAAAATGGGAAGATTTATCTAACTGAAATACCAAGTAGTCTAGTTTTTCTGATAAGTGATGTTTTTCCTAAAGTCCCTGCCGTGTGGCGTTGGTAGGCATTTCTATCCACAACCTTCAGTCTCGTGTACTTTAAATCAACTCTGACACAGATGATCTTCCATGCCGTGATGTCAACCTGTCCAGTATCTGTTTTCTCTGTCTCCTTCTGCCTCTCCTCCCCTCCAACTTTCCTGCTACCATGATGTACTTCAGTTTTCTCCTTCTCATTACATGACCAAAGAATGTAGATTGTCTCTTTCTGATGTGTGCAATCAACTCCCTTCGTGAGCCAGTTTCTTTAAAGACATCTTCATTACTCTTTTTGTCTGTGCAGGGTATTCTCATCATTCATCTATAAAACCACATCTCCGCAGCTTCCAAATAAGTTTTCAATAATTTACCAACTGCGAATATTTCACGCCTGTATATCAATAAAAGATTTATATAGCTTTTAAGAATTATCTTTCTCGTCTCAATTGACAAAGAAAGATTGCATAAAATATTCTTCATTCTGTAAAATGCTGCCTTTGCTGGAGCCATTCAACACTTCACTTTTTAAATACATATTTTATCTGATGTTATCAGGGTACCCAAGTACTTAAACATATCAACTTGCTTGAGGTCTCTTCCATTTACTTTGATGTTGCAGTTTGGAGGATCAGTTTTCTTTGTAATCACCATTACTTCTGTTATTCTGCTGTTCAAACTAAGACCCTTGTTTTCAGTTTCTGTTACAATTATATCCATCATTTCTTGCAGTTGTGTTTTACTTTCAGCAATCAAAACGAAATTGTCAGCATATAGCAGATTATTAACAGTATTCCCACCAACCAAGTGATGTTCTAGTCAAGGTTAACATGGCTGTTACTACCTTAGGCGTGTAACACATATACTAGTTTCAAGCATAAACAGGTAGGGTGATCACTTCCCTTGCTTTGAAAATTTCTACCCATTTTGTGAAACAGGGTTAAACTTGTAGGTTTAGTGTAGGAAAAATAAGCTGCCACTGACACAGAAAGAATCCAGACAAATGGCACTGCTAACTGAAGATCTGACACCATAGTCAAATAGTGACTCAAAGAGTCAGTTCCAAATGAACAAACTCCTAATACCCTGGTCAACTTTATCTTCCTCTTAGGGTTCACCAACTCCAGCAGAAAGTTCTGGTTGTTTCTTTACATCTAGTCTTTGGTCTTGTTTGAAAACTTGAGTTTTGCATGGCATTTATTTTACAATCTGGCTTTTTTGTATGCAGATTGTTAGTACGTTGCTTTTCAGGTCAATGCACACTGACTTTGAAGGAGTCATCCGTAATTTCTGAAAAAAATAAATTATGCTTAGCCTATGAAACATGAATGGGGAGAGGAATTGGCGGCTGGTTGCGCTTGACTGTCATCACCAGATTTGCTGTGGGATGGAGGCAGTACTAGGCATGACATAACTTTTGCTTGGTCTTTGTCAACAAAACTAATTAGCGTCTCGCAGTGAAAAGGTTCAAGCCTAGTTGGGCTGCATGAATATCATTATCCTTGGTATATATATGTCTTCATCAGTTTAGGTATTCTCTGGTGGAAATGAAATGGCTGTCACTGGGGCAGAGGTCCTTGGCAGAAAAAAACACTATCATCTTGCTACTAGTAGATCTAGAGAAATGCATGCAGCCTAAGTGGTCTGTGCTAGCCCAACACCATGTCTCGGTTTATCATCCATTTGTTCTTTATTTCAGTGCTTGTTTGGTGATTGTGTGTCTGCTTCTGCCTGTGATGTGTCCAACATTTGCCAACTATCTTTGCTTTACAACTATTGCTACAAGTGGCTGTCCTGATATTGCTGTTATTTCTTCACACTTTCTGAATCTCTTTCCCCCCCCCCCCCCCCCCGCCCCCCCCACCCCCCCCCCCCCCCCCACCCCCCCCCCCCCCCCCCCACCCCCCCCCCCCCCCACCCACCCCCCCCCCCCCCCCCCCCCACCCCCCCCCCCCCCCCCCCCCCCCCCCCCCCCCCCCCCCCACCCCCCCCCCCCCCCCCCCCCCCCCCCCCCCCCCCTTCCCTCCCTCCATTCGTCAGGTATTTGCTTTTGAATTCATTTATCTGTTTTTCCATGTCTTTAGTGGTTCTCCTACATTCAATGCAAAATGTAAACCCTTCTGGTACCAAGCAGGTTTTATTCTAAGAATGAATTTTTGTTAAGTAATCAACATCTAGGGCTGAGTGTTTAAAATAATAGCATCAGTTGACAGAAGGAGTTTCAGTACACACTTGGGCAGAGTTAGTGAGGATAACAACAGAAAAAGTCACAAGATATTCATAAAAGTAAAAGTATATCATGACAGCCAAAACCAACAAGTGTATTCAGCACTTCTTCTTCTTCTTCAGCATTCAGAGCCCTTGAGGTTTATTGCTGCAGATATCAACCGCCTCCATTCATCTCTCTGGCTGACCTTCTCTTTTTAGTTGGTGACACTAAGTGTTTGCAGTTCTGTCTGGATATTATCTCTTCATCGTCTTCTTGGTCTACCTCGTGGTCTAGGACCATTCATCTCCCTGGTGTCTCCATTCACTGATGTTTGCATCTTTTATGCGTCCAAAGATTTGTTGTAAGACTTCCCTTTTAGTTGTGCTCCAAGTTTCAGAGCCATATAACATGGCTGGTCTAATCAAGGTTTTATATTTTTTAATCTTGGTGTTGCGAGACAGACACTTTGACTTTAGCAGATGCTGAAGGGAATAGTAAACTTTATTTCCAGATTGTTTTCTAGATTGTATTTCTTTTTCTCAGCATGTTGGAGCAGTTGAAGTTTACACCCAAGTACTTATATGTTTCCGTTCGTTTGATTTTCATATTATCGACTTGTATGTGGTCGGAGTTTATATTCTTTCCCTTTCTATATGTAATCATGTATTCTGTCTTGTCTTGATTGATGTACTCAGCACTGCTTGGCATTAAATGAGTTAAAGTTGAAATAAATTAGACTTGAAAATATGTAACCTGATTTTATAACCATATAATTTAGAGTGTTAAATTTTGTTCAGGCCTTTAAAAGTTGCTGTTGTCTTGCCAATGTTTATCACCATAATTTCTTTGCGCTTTTCATCAATCGGAAATTGTTACCTGAAAATATTCTTGTCTGTTACCAGTGTGATATCTGCTTAAAAGGATGCAGTATAGGTGAACCTAAGCCACTAAGTATAACTTTAATGACAATGAAAATTAGAAGAGCAGGAGTCTTACCATCACAGGTTGCTGTAGCTTCAACTCGGGTCCCATTCCAACAGTAGCAATAAAAGGACCCAAAAGAGTTAATACACCTTGAGTGAGCGGGACAAGGATTTTGTAAACATTCATTAACATCATTACTACAATCAATCCCATTATATCCAGGATTACATACACATGGGCCTGTTGGAGAGCTGCACGACTGTGTTTGAGGCTTGTAACATTTACAAGCTGAAAATTGTATAAATAAAACAAAATTATGACAAGAAGAATATTTCTTTATAAAACATGTTTTCCTCTTTTATGTCATAGAGCTGCTGGCGGCACTGCAGGCAATAACTTGCATGCAGCTCTTATGACAATATGTCTATCCACAAACAACACTAACACCGTCAGAGAGTACACATTAAACTGAATGCAACCATAGGAGGTTCGGGTAGTCGATCTCAGTGGCAGCTCGCGTTTATCTATCCCATCTCAGCCTGCCGGGGCACTTTGAAATCACCAAACATGCTCTACCCGTATGGCTGCTTTAGGCGTTTCTGGGTCCGAATCAGTACCTCCAATCCTAACCCTTCCCTTGGACCCCATGATGCACACCTTCACCACTAGATCATGCATTTGAATAGACCAAGTCACTAAGCTGGTTCACCTCGGTGTAAAATCCACAAAATCGCTCTCTTCTTCTTCTTCTTCTTCAATCTAATGCCTCCAGTAATAACATTGTTACAGACATGCAATGAAATACTGCTATCCGTGATTCAGATAACATCTCAATAGCAATGTCAGAAAATAATCTCAGTCCCACCAGCAGTATCTAACAGAATACCTGAGATAAACATTCTGTATGTTTTTCGTTGGCAGAGAAGTGGAGCAACTAAGGAGTGACCCGTTTGCTATGAAGGTGAAACTAAGATTACCAGCTTACCAGATTACTAGATACCAGTATCTAACAGAATATGTAAAAGAATACTCTCCATTACACCAGCAGAATCTAACAGAATATCTAAGAGAATACTCTCCATTACACCAGCAGAATCTAACAGAATATCTAAGAGAATACTCTCCATTACACCAGCAGAATCTAACAGAATATCTAAGAGAATACTCCCCATTACACCAGCAGAATCTAACAGAATATCTAAGAGAATACTCTCCATTACACCAGCAGAATCTAACAGAATATCTAAGAGAATACTCTCCATTACACCAGCAGAATCTAACAGAATATCTAAGAGAATACTCCCCATTACACCAGCAGAATCTAACAGAATATCTAAGAGAATACTCTCCATTACACCAGCAGAATCTAACAGAATATCTAAGAGAATACTCTCCATTACACCAGCAGAATCTAACAGAATATCTAAGAGAATACTCCCCATTACACCAGCAGAATCTAACAGAATATCTAAGAGAATACTCTCCATTACACCAGCAGAATCTAACAGAATATCTAAGAGAATACTCCCCATTACACCAGCAGAATCTAACAGAATATCTAAGAGAATACTCTCCATTACACCAGCAGAATCTAACAGAATATCTAAGAGAATACTCTCCATTACACCAGCAGAATCTAACAGAATATCTAAGAGAATACTCCCCATTACACCAGCAGAATCTAACAGAATATCTAAGAGAATACTCTCCATTACACCAGCAGAATCTAACAGAATATCTAAGAGAATACTCCCCATTACACCAGCAGAATCTAACAGAATATCTAAGAGAATACTCCCCATTACACCAGCAGAATCTAACAGAATATCTAAGAGAATACTCTCCATTACACCAGCAGAATCTAACAGAATATCTAAGAGAATACTCTCCATTACACCAGCAGAATCTAAGAGAATATCTAAGAGAATACTCCCCATTACACCAGCAGAATCTAACAGAATATCTAAGAGAATACTCTCCATTACACCAGCAGAATCTAACAGAATATCTTAGAAAATACTCTCCATTACACCAGCAGAATCTAACAGAATATCCAAGAGAATACTCTCCATTACACCAGCAGAATCTAACAGAATATCCAAGAGAATACTCTCCATTACACCAGCAGAATCTAACAGAATATCTTAGAAAATACTCTCCATTACACCAGCAGAATCTAACAGAATATCCAAGAGAATACTCTCCATTACACCAGCAGAATCTAACAGAATATCCAAGAGAATACTCTCCATTACACCCACAGAATCTAAGAGAATACTCTCCATTACACCAGCAGAATCTAACAGAATATCCAAGAGAATACTCTCCATTACACCCACAGAATCTAAGAGAATACTCCCAATTACACCAGATAATATATAGGTAAATATTAATTAATTATTTTTTTTTTAGTTTGCTCAAACCAAAAACAACTTAAATAATTACACTTTATCTGATGTTTGATGCCCACAAACAATACACAGATATGGTGCACTTTAAGGACCGAAATAGTTAAAAACCAAAAACTATTGGTACAGCACTACTGTCCCAAACCGGAGGAGTTTCAGACGGATATTTCCAGCTGAGAAAAAAACAATGCTTGCAGTTACTACACAGAGCAATAACTGGATTTTATTTCACCTCTAACAAATTAAATCTCTAGCATCACTAGAATCATAATCAGTTTCTTGTACCACTAGGGTAGAACCATAATTGTTCATAATGACAAGCAGCGCTTATCCTTTCTTTACTGGGAAGTATAACCCACCAAAGCCAGCCTCATAATAAATAGCAGGGACATCAAGAGAGACAGCAGACTGCGGTACCTGGGAATCATATTTGACAGAAGCCTGTCTTTCAAGGATCACATAGAGGTGGTTGTGTCAAAGGCCCCAAAAGATCTTGAAGCACTAAAGATTATGGCAGCAATGGAAATTGAGCAGAGAATGCTGTTCCCACTTTACCAGCACTTAATCATCTCAGTGACTGATTATAAACTGGGTTTGCGCACTGTTTTGAAGAGTCAGCTAGTGAAACTAGAGCGCATACAGAATAAAGCTATGAGGGTGATCGTGGGATGTACCAGAGACACCACAATTGTGTACATGCAATACATCCTTGCATTGCCGATTATTGCAGATAGGATAAAGGTGCTACAGGCTAAGTCATACCTCAGAGTTGCTGCAGATAAAAAGCACCCTCTGTATGAAGCTTTAGATGCAGTAAGCATCAGAGACTAAAAAGGGGGAAATCATGGATGGCTCAAGCAGAAGACACAAAAAGACAAGTATGCATGCTGAAGAACATTGTGTGAGGAGAGAATTGGGTCAGAATACCAGAGGAAGAGTCTGACCTATGTAGGGTCATGATCACTATAGGCCGGGAGTGTAGACAGTGGTCAGCTTCGAGCAGAGTGGCAAGCTTCACTTTCAAGGTCATGGGTAGTGAGCATACTTTGGATCTTTTCTTCAGGCCATGCCAGCGTGGTGGAGAATGAACAGGCAGATAGACTGGCTAGAGCTGCACCGTTGATGGCGATTTGATATATGACAAGGCAGAGGTTGTCAGAGCCTTTTGGGAAGGAGTAATGAAGTCAGAAAAGAAACTAGATTATTATGGGCTGGAGAGAATGATGCACCTGGGTGTGACGAGAGGGTCTGACCGGTATACTACGTTCAAAGGAAAGGCAAGACAGACATATAACCAGACTACGACCAGCACCATTAGCATTGGAACTCTGCATTGGCTGCTGAGGATGGGGATAGAACGCATATGGGAATGCCACGGGTTCTGTGATGTCAATTCTTGACTCAACTTAACTACAGTATAACCCATACCTTCTTAAGTTGAACTGTAAAACCCATCACTTCTTTAGTGGGAGGCAAATCCCATCTTCAGTGGAAGGTCAAACCCATATCCTCTTTAGTGGGAGGTAAAAACCCATATCCTCTTTAGTAGGAGGTAAACCCCATCTTCTCTTTAGTCAAGGTGAAACTAATCTCTGTTTTAGTGAGAGACGAAACCGATCTATTCTTTAGTGGGAGGTGAGACCCTTCTCTGTTTTTGTAGGAGATGAAACCCATCTCTTTTTTAGTGGGAGATGAAATCCATCTCTTTTTTAGTGGGAGATGAAACCCCTCTTTTTTGAATGGGAGATAAAACCTATTTCTGTTTTAGTAGGAGGTGAAACCCATCTTTTCATTAGTGGAATGTGAAACCCATCTCTTCATTAGTGGAATATGAAACCCATCTCTTCTTTAGTGGGAGTTAAAACCCATCTCTTCTCTAGTGGAAGGTGGAACCAATCTCTTCTTCAGTTGGAGGTAAAACCCATCTCTTCTTTAGTGGGAGGCAAAACCCATTTCATATTCAGTGGAGGTAAAACCAATCTCTTCTTTAGTGGGAGGTGAAAGCCATTTCATATTTAGTGGGAGGTAAAACCCATCTTTGTTTAACTGGCAAGTAGAATAAATGCTTTCTTTACTAGAAAGAACTCATTCACTCTGCTGGGAAGTACAAACCTGGGGACTGAGGTGTTTTTGTTATGAAAGTCACCCCGTTAAATATTCTTCTTCTACTGATTGAGTCTGTAAAATTTCATCTGTCAGCTGGGTTCTCTAGGTTAGCAAGACCATCTTTTCATTGAAGCCTTATCTAAAATATTTTGGTCGCATAACTTTCTCTGGCTGTAACCTCTAACCTCTTAACAGTCCTGTTCCTCTTGGTCACTTCCAGTCCATTGTCACTATTCATGTTGAATAGTGAATAAAGAATCTTCATCAGAGCACTTAGGTCACTCCCATAAGCACCCCATCCCTTTCTTCAGCAGCAAGCACAGAATTCCAATTTCAATGATTCCAGTAACATTGTGATTGTTAATCCATCTCACCTTTCCCTTGAAATTTAAGCATCGACCAGATGAAGAACCATTCTCCTTTGGTCCTGGTAATCTATGTGTGCCTCACAATTTGAGCATTCACAATCACTTGTCTTGATTTTGCACTCTGTCAGCTGCTGTTTATCCATCTGTCAATATTATTGCACTTGTATCACTGATTATCTCTTGGTAGCATGTCTGTCATTTTTTCTCGGGTCTGGTTTTTTTAATGAAAGCGGGATTTTTTTTAAAATGCCGCTGACATCTTTTACTTCTCTCTCTCTCTCTCTCTTTTTCAAATAATTTCTTTCATCAATCCCTCTTATCATTCTGTCTGTCAAAACTATATAGTAACTGTTTGTCCCCCTAATCTTTTTATGTCTATACTGATAACTTTAGAGTAGTTACACAGTGAGGCCCTTGTCTCTCCCACAATGGTGTTCTTTAGCTACCATGGTAACTATAATTTTATGAAAACAATCACCAAATACTCCCATTATCCACAAACTGGTACAGTTGTACTTACCATCTGTAACGTAGCTTGCTTTAAATCCCTTTTCAGCTGTGTTTCCTAGAGAGCTGTAGATAATATGCATCGACCTTTCTGTAGAAGTCACTGTTTTAGGCTGCTGGCTGTCACAAAATCTTGCAATTAGATTACATCCAGAATGTTTACCATCAAAGACCTCTATGTAGTCCTTTCCGCATTCCCCGAGGCCATAGTCTGCGAAACTGGAAATGAGTTGAAACAAATGTTAATAATTATTCTCTCTTATATAATATAAAATCACCTGGGTTCAACCTTACCTCTAAGTTTAGTGGTGAAGCGAAGCTCATTTTTAAATGCAGTGTTATATGTAAATTATAACCATCAACGCTGAATTAGATTTAATATTTAATTCAGTTAATCAATTCTGAAGGGCCCAGAGAACCAGCAAATTCAGGAAACCACGTGTTCCATTTAGCACACGCTTATGAGGGTATTTCTTCCTTCCACCAGCTCTTCTGTATTTTCTTACTACCAACGCCAGACAAAGATTGGTACACGAATCGTACACACAGTCCTGTCACCATAAACGGGCACAGACAAACAGAAAATATAAGGAACTTGGTTCCAACTTTTCAAACTATGTGTTAAATGTGAACTTTAATCACTACCATTACAGTGGTCTAGAAATATTCGGACTAACACACTGAAAACTCGTTTGAGCAGCATTGGACAATCAACTGCAGTAGACAGAATCACCAGAATTTGCCGCTACTAAAGCCAGGAATTTCAGTTCCCTCACCACGTCAACCCTCTAGGAATCACCACAGGTGAGCTGTACTTGTGCGGGAAAGGAACTGGACCTAGCAGACATTTCTTTTGCTTTCTTATGATGATGCCCATTGTGATTTGAATTACGCTAGAACATCATCAATTTTTGGCCAGTCAGTTGTGTATTGTAAATTAGAATTAAAGTTTTCAAAGTATTCTTTATTCAAACTACCATTCTCGTTTGTGCGTATTTACAAGTGGGTGAGAGTTCAGTGAGTGAGAAGGGAGCATGCTGCTTTCTCTCTGGGTGCTCTTTCATTAAAACAGTAGCAGAGGAGTTGCCATCAAGATATTTAGCTTGCCCTAGCACCACACCATTGGAGCGGGGTAGACTTATCTTCTTGTCCTCTGTCCCAGGAGTGAGATCTTTGTCTCTCTCACTACAGGGACTACCCTAGTAGACAAGAAAGTTACCCTACTTCTTTTGAAGACTGATAGACTGATAATTATCTCCTGAATAGGAACTCTACCCTACCTAGGGCTCTCCTATAGTTGTGACAGTCACAAACTTAAAATAACCAACCAATTGTGTTCAAACCTCATGGTTAGTCATTGCAAATGACTGTCCACGTGTGTTTGGATTAAATTTGTGTGGTTTAAGGTGAAAAAATTATAAAGTCACAATGAAACGAGCAGCTGATGAACCAAGCATGTCGACAAGAAAGTGAAGTAGGTCTAGGCTTTTCATAGTCCAACGGCTGATCGATACTTTGGTTGATTCAGACTCTGAGGAGTCAGAATTTCATAAAAAATACATTCCCAGTTGAAGTGACAGTCAGTGAGAGCACAAGTGATGAGGAGAATCTTGAAAATTATAGATTTAAAATGATCGATAGTAGAAGGGGGTTGTGGGGGGTCCCCTCAAACAGCAACATCTGGTGCTCACTTTGTAAAACAAGGCTGATCCTGCTGGGTGGACTGGCACACAAAGGTGGAATATTGCCGCTTGATGAAAGGTTAACCTATTTTCTACAATGTCTCCAAGTTTCATCTTATTATAACCACTTGTTTGCACGTAACTAATATTTTTGTATATCATGTTCGTTTATTCGTGTTAATGCCCAGGAGCTCAGGTCTGGTAGGGTTAAAACTGTTCTTAAGTACATCTACAGTTAAACATTTGTAAAACATAAACCTCCATAATTTTTTTGTATTGCTGGGTAAATTATGTAAGACAGCCACTGCAGAAGTGCAGTACAAGTGAAACCTCAAGAAGTGGCAGGATTCATTTCCCACCTGGTAGGTCTCTGGAGTCAGCCCAGCCTAATAAAACAGGCACCAGACAATTTCTAGAATGTTCTGGGAATAGTTTGAAAAGGAGATATAATGAGAAAGAGAACTAGTTACTCCACTTGGTTACCCCACTTGATGCTACAGCTAGAATCTTTGAAGGTCTAACTCTTCACATCTTGAATCTTAATGTATGTTATGAGACCATTTACTTTTTCCAATGTAGTATCTAGCATACGTTCACATCAGTTAGGGGACCATGTGTGCAAATCCCCATGGAGTGGCCGTGTGCTCAAATTGCCATGGAGGCAGAGATTTATTTTTACCTGTACGGGGTCCCCCTCATGGTAGACCCATTCTAAACCAAGTATCAGGAAATTTCTTGGAGAGCTGGCATACTTTTATTCCTATGGGAGCTAACTGGTCTGAAAATATGGGGCTCACAACATACCCCTGGACTGATGATGTTGAAGTCACAGAACATCGGCATTGATTGATAATGACAAGCTCGACACAACAAACTCTGAATGGGAAAACTTTCCTCACTATGATACTTAATGGCAAAAGTGGATGATTCTCATGTTGATGTTGTTTTTGGTAACTACATACTTGAGAGTCACTAAGTTTCCTGCTGCAACTGTAATGGTCCAAGTGACATAGACATTGCTGGAAGAGCCTGTTGGGTACTGTGGGCTTGTAACATCACCAGAGGCAACTGTCAGATCGTACCTGGAAACTTGGTAATCTATTTCATGGAAAGAATAATAATATAATTAAATTATACTATTCTCAACAACAACAACAAAGAAAGAAACAAACAGCTACTGAAAGTAAGATCTTTGTAATGCAGTAAATTAAATTACTCAAATTTCACAGTGGGGTTGAAAAAAATTTACTGACACTTTTTCCCCCATCTGGGTCACAATAATTTGTAGGCAGACGGCCTTTCCTATTAGTATGGTGTGTGGCCTCCTCTTGCATGGATTAGTGACTGGCACCCTTGGGCATGGATGCAATTAGATATCTGATGTGGGCCTCTGGGATGGCTGCCCACTCTTCTTGGAGTGGATTACGACCATTGGCTGGAGCAACGTCTTTGCAACAAACACGTCTCACCAATCGGACTCATGTCTGCTGACAGGGATGACCAGGGAAGGGTTTTAATCTTATCGGCAGCCAAGAACTGCATGGTCAGCCGGGCAGAATGGGGGTCTGGTGTTATCCTGTTGAAAAAGATTTTTGCTGGCATCCCAAAATAAAAGGACATATGGTCAAAGAATTTCAACATTACACCTCCACCACCATGCAGCAGAGCGTCCTCAACACAACTTTGGGCTAAATCTTCATTTTGCCTATGGTAGACCCTACACCCTCTATCATGATGACACTGCAACAACAAAAAAGATCTGTCACTGAACCAGACTTGTCTCCATTGACTGTCACCTGCTCAAGGTTGGCCCAAAGAACTCGATTAGAGCAGTGGTGACGAGTAAAGACAGGTCCTTGGTGTGGTCGTCGTGCCAAAATCCAACATCTTTCAGTCTGTTCCGAACAGTTTGATCAGACACAGGACATCCTGCAGGCATTGCCTGCGCAGTCGAGGAAGCTGCTGTAAACCTGCCTCTGAGGTAACAAAGCCAAATAAAGGGATTGTCTGCTGGTGTTGTCACTCTGGGTCGTCCAATGCGATTTTGGTCTCCCAATGAACCAGTGGCTTGGAACCAGTGTCAAAGTCAAGTAATGGTACTATGATGCACATTTAGATGCTTGGCAACCTTACTTTGACTTTCTCCTGCTGCAATCGGTCAATAGCAATAATCCATTACAAAATCCACACACTCACAACTTTAGTAAACATCCTGTGGGGTCAAGGACAGTGGTAAACAAATGAAAGAAAAATTACCAAGTAAAATCAAACATCCTCAAATGCTGCATTTGGAGTTTGAGGTCCTGCAAAGATTTTGTAACAATTCAATCAGCTGCTGTCTCCACAATAATGGCTGGCTACAACAGATCCCAAAACCCTCCTAGGGGTCACTAGGTTAAGTGGTTAAACCACTGACCTCTCACTCTAAAGGTTAGTGATTTGTTTCGTGGACAGTGTCATTAATTAATGAGGGTAGTGTTAGAGAGATCCTTGGGGTTCATGGTTGGAGTTTGTGCTTTAGGTGATGCTCTCAGCAGACGGCTAGCCATTATGCAGAGACAGACCAAGCCTATGGAATAAAATCTGCGCAATAAGTTTTTCTTTAAACCATTACATCTCATTAGCAGCTTTGACACCTTCAGGCATACTGGACATTTAGCGATAGAACTATATTTTATAGACTGATTGGCACTCGTTGGGTTTAATGTTGAATTAGGAATCAACGTCACAGCACTCAGGACACTCCTATAAGTGCTCAGTCCCCATCTTCAGCAGTAAGCGAAGAGTTCCAATTCCGATGGTAGCAGTAACCGTTTGATTGTATATCCGTCTCATCCTTCCTCTGAGTGTTGAGCGGTGGTCAGATCCCCTGGTAACTCCTCGCAGAGCCATCCGCCTTAGACCCTAATGATCTATCTGTGCCCCCGCACTGTTTACTCACTCCTATAGGGCCCTCACAAGATCTAACCTGTCATACATCAATTCACCACCAAGTGGTGCACAGCCAGCCAGTCTTTCTACCTGCTAATTTCCCAACAGACTGGCATAACCTGGAGAAAATATCCAAAGGATGCTAACTATCCAGGACCTCCGAAGTGATGCTTGCCACTCTGCACGAAGCATGCCTGTCTCCACCTTTCTCAACATGCTCTGTGAGTCAGTTATAATCACGACATGTGTGTACAACTGATTTTCAAGCCAGCGGAGGGCAGCAAAGACTGCCTCCACCGCCATTCTCAAACTAGACATTGTGATATCATATGCAAGACTTTGCTGCACTCGTTGGGTGATGTGGTCAACAACACGCCGACCGCTCTCCCTTTCCAGTACCTAACCTGGTACCCACCTAGAGTGTGATCTGCTCCCCACCAACAAGCAGCCATTGTTAAGGTGATTGTACCAGTCCTTAACTGTCAGATATGAATGGCATCATCACCAACAGCCTGTTAAACCTTCTAAATGTTTTTATACAAACAGATATAGCTGTTGTTAATATGAGAAAAGTGGTGTCTGTGTGTGGGCTCACTCTAGCATGTGTACCTATAGCAAACCTTCTCCTTCTTTCGTGTTCACCCTTGAAAGGTTGTTTGCACATGGTGTTGTTGATGATATCTAGACCAAATATCTATCATTTTAGCCTGACACATCTGATTTTAGCAAACCCTTGACTTTTTTTTTTTTTTTTACCATTTCTGTCAAGGGTCAGTAAGTACATTATTTGTTCTTCCGCCATGAAACCCCAGAACCCAAACTGGGCACCTACAGCTGTATCTTCTGCTTTAACTTAAGTATAACATTCACATAAAATCAGACATTTCTTACCATTCACTGAATAAGATCCCGACCATCTCCCAGGTGTGTTGAAAACAAGAAACATGGTGCTATCTGAGGACTGAATACTGCGTGGATACGTATTATAGTAGCCACAGAATCGACCAAGAAGTTTGGCAGTAGAATTGCTACCATCATAAATACCTAAAGCACCATAGTAACACCAAACTCGGTAAGTGTCAGAAGATGAAATGTCTATGCTAGAAATTCTGAAGAAGAAAAAAGTATGTATTAAACATTAACCTTTGTTTCAACTGCTGTAAAGTGCATACATATTTAAGATTTTACCCATATCAGAACACACTATTTGGCACACGCAGTCTAGGAAAACGCATCTGACCGGATCAACTGTCAACAAATGTGGAAAACATGAAAGGCCAATTAACCATTACTGAAAGACTTCCGTGAAGAGGACCTAGAAAAGATGGCAGAAATGTTCAATAATAATTTTAAAACAGCCTCACTGCTCCAAGAATGACTACACGGCTAAACTAATCCAGTGTCTAAGCAATACAAGGATCACTCCTCCATAAATGGGTATCAGATCATCATCAAAGATAATAGCTAACAGGCTGTGATCTCTCACCTGTGGGATTAGGTCAAAAGTAAAGTGGAAGAATACTGAAAACCTGTGCCTGGAAAAAAATGATGCAGCAGGTAATGTCTGCAGTCTCTGGTTACCACTCAAGACTCAATGGGGATGAAGAGGAGGGGGGAGGTGGGGGAGTGTGGGACAAGAGGTACCATAAGTATGGAGATGGCTATCTGTTGAGGGAGAAGGACTTCTCCTGAATGATGCAACCCAATTAACCAATATTATGTCACAGCTTAGATTAGCATAAGACAGTGCACTAGTCACAATGCTATCACAGCTGGTTTAATTAAAATTACCTTAAGGAAATGGTTTTCCCACTCTCTGCTTTGATAGTCCAAGAGCAACTGGTGGTGTCAGAATACCTTTGTGGATAATTGGGAGATTGTATTATTCCTGATGAGTTTGTGAAGGTGAATATGCATTCTGAAAAGGAAATAACAATGTATTGTAGTACTAATCTCCTTTTTCTGTTCTCTACTCCAGAAATGCCTCACGGTGTCAGAGAAAGAAGAGATCTCTAAAATGGGCCCTTCTGTTCGTTCATATGTAGTACTTTTGAGCATCTCTGATATTTGTGCGGCCTACATTTTGCATGGTCGACCTCTGGCACTGTTAACGCTGTGTCTGCATAACGATGCTCTCTGTGATGCCCTGTCTGATGCCAGACTTGTTACATGGCCAAACTATTTGACCTGCTGTCTAGCTATAAAGTTTATTATTGGTTCTAAGCATACTCTCCTCCTGATATCATCGTTCCTAAGTCGATCTTTCCTCGTTACACCTAGCATAGTTTGTAAACATTTCACTTCTGTTGTGACTATTTTCCTTCTGTCTTCTGAAGACAGTGTCTAACAATCTGTAACTCCTAATTACTGCATCAACACCAGTTCACCATTCACAGCAATTCTGATTTTAACAGTCTCAACTTTTCTATCTACTGTGTACAGTTGTGTGTGTGTGTGTGTGTGTGTGTGTGTGTGTGTATACAGACAGACAGATACACACACGCACATATATATATATATATATATATATATATATATATATATATATATATATATATATATATATATATATATACACATATATGTATATATGTATGTATATATATATATATATATATATATATATATATATATATATATATATATATATATATATATATATATATATATATATATATATATATATATATATATATATATATATATATATATATGTGAGTGTGTGTGTGTGTGTGTGTGTGTGTATATATATATATATATATATATATATATATATATATATATATATATATATATATATATATATATATACACACATATATGTATATATGTATATATATATATATATATATATATATATATATATATATATATATATATATATATATATATGTATATATATATATATATATATATATATATATATATATATATATATATATATATATAAACAATGAACAGATTAATTAAAAACAAGTTTGGCAGAGCAGAAAGTTCAAGATTAAAACAAAACTCTTGTCTATCAGGCTTGTATTGTGAACACTATGCTTTATGCCAGTGAAACTTAGCTCATCTATACCAGGAGAAATGACTAAATAGATTTCACATGCGATGTCTAAGAACAATACTCATTATCAGGTGACAGGACAAGATCACAAACACTAAGGTATAGGAAAGAGCAGGTATTACAACAGTATTCTCAATAATCACTCTACGAAGGCTCAGGTGGCTGGGTCATACCTGGAGAACAAAGGATGCCTGCCAGTCCCTAAGGACATCCTCTATGGTGAATTACAGATAGGTAAAAGATGTCGAGGCTAACCTCTATTGCAACATAAAGATGAGTGCAAACGGAACATCAATGATACAGTTATTCAGGTGGACTCGTGGGAACAAAATGCCATGGACCATGTTGCATAGAGGGGGCTTATCAGGAAGGGAATGAGAATGAAGGAAGAAATTATTGCAGAAAGAATAAAAGCTGAGTGTCCTAGAAGAAACAGACTAAACACAAATAATGGTAACTATGGTTCTGATATCCAATGCTATAATTGTGGAAGACTCTTCTTGACAAATGGGGGAGGGGGTTGCTAGTCACACCCGCCATCGTCATGGACTGTGAGTTTCATGCCTCTTGATAGCACAATATTGTCCAGAAATGGAAAGGTGCCAACATGTCCGTTATAAAAAGGCAACAGTGTACTAGTCATAACAGTGTACTAGTTATAACAGTGTACTAGTTATACAACAGAATCATTTTCTGCAATACTGTTAATACAAGTGTACCTACCTTTAGGGGTTTGCACAATTGGTTTTGGTTTATCAATGCAGTCATACCCTCCAGGTCTGTTGAAACACTGCTTATCTGGGCTCTGGCAGACTCTGCCTAGAAGCTCAGTGCATTCATTGATGTCCCTGGAACAGTCTGAAGAAGTCCATCCTTCTGAACAGACACATCCACCAGTGGTGACATCACAAGACTTTGTACTGCTGACTTGACAGGAACAGCTTAGACGACAGTCTTTGCCAAAAGTCACATTGCTACATGCTGGAATATCAAGAGAGAATGTCCTACACCATTAAAAGATAATGTTAGTTTCCCGTCCTTTACAGGATGTTGCAGAACCAACCCCAGTTATTTTTCTGGCTGCTGTGGTTTTTCTAGGCAAATTTACATTCAGTAGGTTTCCATTGCTCTCTGAACAGTCGGCTCTTTGTACCACTGTCAAAACTAATGCAGAGCAGTCTGCTATCAAATCGCCTGCAGCTGGGATCGAACATGGCACCACAGCATTAGGAAGTGCATTCGCAACACCTAAGCCACAGATACTGACATTAGAAGGCCATGCTGAAATTTCAAGAGAATGTCCCATACCATCAGAAAGTCACATTATTAACCCTTTCGCTGCTATGGGTCTTTTTCGCTGTTTTTACATACACTTCTATGCTCGTCTTTGAGCGCTATTCGGTTTCTTGACAACTGCTATATGCGTAAAAATACATTTTCGACTTCACCTACAGACTTCCAAGAATCGTATACTCGGGGGGTTAAAGGGCAATAAACAATAGCCATTTTTGGATTCAACTGACCCATTTACACACAATTAGAAGATCACAAGATGCATTATAAAAGACAATGTAAACATGAAATGTGTCAGCTGCAAGGTGAAGACCTTGCAATGAATGAAACAACGGCATAAAGTATAACTTAGGGAAATAAAGACCAACTCATGCAGCCCATTGAAAGGACCACACAGATCATCTCCACATCTCAAATCTTGCTGAGACAAATGAAGGAAGAGCAGATGAAGAAGACAAAGAAAAAGAAGTAGAAGGAGACGAAGAAGGAGGAGAAGGAGAACGAGAAGGAAAAAATGAAGATGCAGCAGCAGCATCAGCAGGAAGAGGAATGAGGGAGAAGAATGAGTAGGAGAAGAAGAAGGAGGAAAAGAATAAGAATAAGAAGATGAAGAAGAAGAAGAAGAAGAAGAAGAAGAAGAAGAAGAAGAAGAAGAAGAAGAAGAAGAAGAAGAAGAAGAAGAAGAAGAAGAAGAAGAAGAGGAAGAAGAAGAAGAAGAAAAAGAAAAAAAAGAATAAGAAGAGAAAGAAAAAGAAGATTAGAGTTCCTCACGCTGGCAAGTGTTCCCCTCCAACTTCATGTTGTCCGGGCAGTAGCAAATCTCCTGGGACGACTGACCCTGTAAGACTTTCACACAGAAATGCGAGCACTTGTGTCCTGCCTGGCAGCTAGCCCCGGGAGGTACTGAAACATTTATAGAAAGAAATGAAATGTACACCAAATGTTGTAAAAATGAACACAGCTGATAAAATATATTCATCAATTCCAATTTACACTGCAAACCAATATAGTTTTTTTCTCTCAAAGCTCAACCCCATGTCCTTGTCATGAGAGGTGGTAACAGGACAAAGTAGGGATTTGCTATGATTGGGCGAAGTATGGTGTGGCCTTGCGCTACGGTAGCCATTAAGGCCATCCTGGGTCACCCCGAAACGTCCTGGCCAACGGGGTTCTGGTGAAGTTGCGACAGGCCTAGCAAGCCGGCAATGGATTTAATACTGCTACAACAAGTACAATGAAATATAAACAAACTGATCAAACAGCATTTGACCATGGCGATGTTAAAGAACTATGAGACAGAAAAGCGAATTACTTAACACCGCAAGACTGGGAAATAAAACAGAAGAGATTATTGAAATAATGGAGAAAAGAAAAATCAAATTAATGAGGCTAGCTGATATAAGACGCAAGGGAACTGGAAATAAGAAAGTACACAGAGACTATTTTTTAACATACTAAGAATGAACAACATTGAAGAATGGCGTAGGTTTCCTGGTGCATCCAGACATAGCTAACTACATTTTAGACATCAATTACCACTCAGGCAGAATTATGAAGTTGACAATTGAGGAGAACAAGCAGAAACGTACATACAGATATATGCACCGTGCAATGATAACTATACAGTAGAGCAGAAAGATGAGTTTTTTGATGAACTGTCTGAAGAGATAGAGAAAGTTAAAGTTAACAACATGCTATATGTAATGGGAGACTTCAACAGTAGAGTGGGTAATAATAGGAGAGAGTACGAACAGTTTCTGAGTCAACATGCAGCTCAAAACAGTGAGGGAAAAGGAAATGGTCAAAGAGTACTGGAACTATACAGCCAGCACAGTCTCTTTATCACAAATACATTTTTCAACCATAGAGATTCACAACAGTATACATGGAATAGATGGAACGACACCTCCATCAAGAGCCAGATTGATTTTATATTAACAAGCGTGAAAGGAAGAAGGAGAGTTTCTGATGCATTAGCAATTAATAATGGTCTGTAGCAAAATATCTCGTCTCCAAGAAACAAAAAGAAATTAAGTAAAAAACCATGATCAGGATAGCAAGCTTGAAACAAGAAGGAGTAAAAGAAGTTACCAAAGAAAGTAGAGACAGCGTTCAAACAAGCTATTGCCTGTGGTGGGGAATATTGAAGATGAATAGAGTGTATGTAAAACCACCTTGCTTAGTATTGCCAAAGAATTATGTGGAAAAATAAAGACAGGAAGCAGATAGAATTGTAACAAATATTAGCCTAGGTGGTGTGAAAATGCAAAAGAAGCAGTTAAGAAGAAAAAAGACATAAACAGTGGATAAAATCGAAGAGAGATGATTATGTAAACTAAAGATTGCAACGAAGAGACACCAAACCAGAGGATCAAGAAAACAAAACAAGAATCCTGGGAACGTTTTGGAGAGTCATTGGCAGAAAGCGAGAAAACAGCCAGCAGAAAATTGTTCAAAGTAGTAAAAACTATACCAAAAAGAGATGAGAGCTACAACCCAACAGTAGTAATTAACAATAAAACAGGAAAACCTTTAAATAGATTCACCAAAGGTCGCTGAAACTTAGAGAGAATACTTCAGTGAGCTCTTCAACGCCTTAGTAGATTGCCAGGAAAGAACAATCAAAAACTACAAAGCAACAGTGCTTGAACCTGTTATACTAATAACTGAAGTAGTTAAAGTCACCCAAGTATAAAGCACCAGGTGATGATAAATTACCAACAGAAATAATCCAAGCAGCAGGTGAAAGCAACATTAGATGGCTCCATAGAATATTCAATGCAGCATGGGTTCAACAAACTGCTCCCATTGACTGGCAACATGCAATAGTTGTACCACTGTGGAAAAACAAGGAAAGCAAGCAAGAATGCAATCAATATCCAGGCATCTCTCTTCTAAGTCTCTTCTAAGTCATGTTGGGAAAATGTTTTCTAATATAATAAAAAAGAGGCTGCAACTAGTGGTAGATCCACAGTTGACAGAAGAACAGATGGGTTTCAGGAAAAACAGAAGCTGCACAGATGCAATCTTCACAATTAAGCACTTAATAGAAAAGAACATCGGAATACGATCAGAACTTTTTTGTAGACCAAGAAAAAGCTTTCAACAGGGTCAATAGACAAAAATTATGGAAAGTAATGGCTCAATATGGAGTAAGTGAACACCTCATTGAAGTTCAAAAAGGGGATATAAAGATTGTAAAAGAGTAGTAAAAAAAAAATTTGGGAACATCTAAACCATTCAAAGTAACATCTGGAGTAAGATAAGGATGTGTCTTATCACTACTACTATTTATCACCTACACTGACAGTATAAGCATGGATGCAAGGCCAAGGAACAAAAATAATATTAACATGAACAAATTACTCTTTGCTCTTTAAATATCATGGAACAACATTCACTGAAGATAGTAAATTGGACCAAGAAATTGACATCTGATCCAGTTAAGCTGGGCAAGTATTTGGACAGCTAGCCCCCCGCCCCCCCCCCCCCCCCCCCCCCACCCCACCCACCTCCTACAGCATAAGGCAACCCCAATCAACACAAAGAGACATCTCATACAAAGCATATTCATTTTCACCATATGCTACCAGTACCAAACATGGTCACTCATTCAACAAAACATAAAAGAAAATTAGTAACCATGGAAATAAGGTGTCTGAGAAAGGCTGTAATAGGAGAAATCAAATCAGGAATGACATCATATGATATAAAGTCTGTACAGAACAAATTCTGAATTACAAATGAAGACAGCAAATCAAATGTTTTGCCACTTGGAAAGCATGCCTTCTGATGTTATACTATACAAGGCATATACCAAAACAGGAGAGGGAAATAGAGCAAGAGGTAGACCAAAGAACAAGATAGAAAAATAACATAAGAGAAACTCTACAGTACCACAATGTGTCTATGGTCAAAGTAGCCAGAAGAGCACAAAGCAGGACCTTATAGTTCCCTCGCCATCAAAACAGTAAAAGAGGAAGCAAAGAAGAAGAAGACCAACATCGTCAATCAAAACATTTACAGAATTATTTTTATTCTGATGCTATACATTGCAAAAGAGCCAATGTGAGAAACAAATGTTTTTCTCTAAAACAATTACACATTAATTAACAATAGAGCAAGAAATTCTAGAAGAGAGTCACAGCAGTGCAGCTGCAGCATGCTTGCTTGCTCACCTAGTGGTCATGGGTTCAGATCAGTATCAGGGTAGATTTCTTTTAAAAACTGATAGATGAATATAAGTTTCAATACAGATGTATTTAGATTCATTTTCTTAAATAATGCATTACACTGTGTTTTGTTAAGATACAGTCAACTAATATAAGTAACTAAAACAGTTCATGAATTTCAAATAATTTTGGTTAATTCTTTTAAATATTAGTTTTGCGAAGGCTTTGAATAGCTTACACAGAATTTCATGTTTTTTTTGTTTTTTGGGGGGGGGGGGGGGGGGGGGGGGACTCTCAAATGTATGTATACTAACATAAACATGTAAAAAATTGATTAAAACAATGTATGAGGGCTCAGAGTAGCCAGTGGGTACAAATGATGATTTCGCAGATTGGTCTGCAGTAGAAACAGGGATATGTTTGAATGACTGACTGAATTTCTACCCCACCAGGACATCACACAAGCGATAAACACCCGATGACACAAAGTGCCATCATGCGGATGAGGATCGCCGTGGAGAGGTCCCAGGAACCGTGTTCAGACAATTGGCCATATTTATGGCCTGCCTATATTGCGGCCCCTGGCAAAAGCCAGGGTGGGGCTTCAAATAACAAAAAAAATTCGTCCTAAAAAGGACGAAACTGGATAATCATATATAGGGATATATTTTATCTTCCTGTGTCTTTATATGGGTTCTAGTCCCCCCCCCCTTTTTTTTGGGGGGGGGGGGGCAAAATATGGCTATTGTTGTGTTTAATTTAAACTCAATATTGATTACTTCCAAGTTAAAATAGTTTCAGCAGAACCTAGCACCTACCTTCACAATTCCCATTGGCGTTCTTAACCAGCCCGTCCTTACACAGACACTGAAAGCTTCCTGCAGTGTTCACACACTCCTGGTAATCATAAGGACACGTCTCCACAGGTCGGTTCTTGCACTCGTCCACATCTTGGGAACAGTCACTAGAAATCCACCCAGGTTTGCAGACACAGAGCCCATTTGTACTGTTACATGAAACAGTGTTGTTTCTCACACAGTTGCAGGTTTGGTTGCACGACTCGCTTCCATATTTAAATTCCGGGCATTCTGTTGATTAAAAAACTATGTCTATTTCAGGAAATGAAACAATATAATCTGTACCGCCTTAACAGTATTATTGGCCCCTGTGATTAACAGTGTGCGGGTGCCCTTACAACAAACACCCATCGGAAAGAAATATAAATGGACGACAATAATATAAAACATTACATTTTTTTTAGTAGCACTTCAACAAAACTGGTGCTAAAACATAATCATAGATTAGATAGCACAGTATGAAATTAGTACAAACTTATTATTATAAGAAATATATTGCAGAGGGTGCGTTGTCTCGAGGTATGATGTCCTCCTCGTGTGCTGGAGATTCCGGGTTCAATCCCCTGTTAGGGCTGGGAATTTTTTTCACGCGGACTTGGACTTCTAGTAATTCCCTCTGGTCTCTGGGTTGTGAGATCGGACTCCCGTGTGCATTGCTGCGCACGTAAAAAATCCCTTGGCAGTTGGAAATCGAAAAGATTAACCTAACGGCGCTGCCAACATTTAGAGGTAATAATCTGCCCAAAGTATTCCAAGATCCTCGCCAGTGCTACAGAGCCTGTGCATTGTGCTGAGCTTCTTCGTACTCAAACTTGAGTTAGAAGAATAAAGGAGCACTTATATGTCACTACTCGTGTGCTATGATGTTGGTCCGTTGTTCAGACTTCAAATATATGTAGCTTTTCTTTTCACAATTGTTTTATTACTGGCTTGCAGTCACTTCAATGGTCCCTAGATATTATTTTCAAGAACAAGAGTGAAAGCTAGCTCTAAAAATGCTGCCACATTGTGCTGCGGAGCACGATCCTCCCTTTTCAGTAAGTTGCAGTCTTGAAAAAGAAAGCTCTCTAACGGTTCCCATCATGCACATGAGGGAAAGGAAGGTAGGGAGAGACGGGAAAGCACGGTTTCGGTTTCATATTAAAGTAAAGTGACTAAAGCATCCTTTTCCACGCCTTTAGGGCTAGACCTATATTTTCATAGACCAAACGGCACCAGATGGCTGATGTGGTCAGCATCACTTCCCCAGACTGCACCCGGTACCCACTCAGACCTGGGTCGACCTGGTAGCAAAAGTCATTTTTGAAAAAAAAAAGTCCGGCTCCGCCATGGAGCGAACCCACGACCTTCCGAGCCGCGACTGATATTCAAGTTTTTATTTAATATATAGATATATATATATATATATATATATATATCTATATATATATATATGTGTGTGTGTGTGTGTGTGTGTGTGTGTGTGTGTGTGTGTGTGTGTGTGTGTGTGTGTGTGTGTGTGTGTGTGTGTGTGTGTGTGTGTGTGTGTGTTGTGTGTGTGTGTGTATGTGTGTGTGTGTGTGTGTGTGTGGTGTGTGTGTGTGTGTGTGTGTGTGTGTGTGTGTGTGTGTGTGTGTTTGTGTGTGTGTGTGTGTGTGTGTGTGTGTGTGTGTGTGTGTGTGTGTGTGTGTGTGTGTGTGTGTGTGTGTGTGTGTGTGTGTGTGTGTGTGTGTGTGTGTGTGTGTGTATTTGAATTATCCTTGTTCTGCTCTTATCATGCTTGCCGGTTTTCGCAAGTATAATTTTATCCTTTCTCATAATATATCCAGGCAATGGTGACTGTTTTCGTTTAATTTCTCTGATCAGTTTACTTGTTATTCTATCTTGGGGCGAATGTGTTTTCCTATTAGTCGGTCATGATCTTTGGATAGGTGGAAAGGTATTTAAAACAAACAACAACACATTTTTTTTTAAGGGAACAATTACCATGTGACCAGAAGCTGGCCACAAACCCGGGTCTCTGGCCGCTGTCGTCAGACTCAAAGACAACCAGCATCCTGTTTCCTGTAGACCGGATTATGGTTCTAGCCAGCTCTGTCTGGCTCATAATTCTACACAAGACTGCCAGAAGTGGAGAGTTGACCGTGGCGCCATCATAGACTCTCACGTAGTCTGGGCAAGTTTCCGAGACCCAGGATCCGCTGCCTTCCACCCCTTCGAGATCTAGGCTGTTAAACCTGTGGAGAATAGCACTATATTATAATTTTCACATTATTACTAGTGAATAATTGTTCATATTCAGTAAATAGATAGACTAATACTCAATTTACGAACATGGAGTCCAAAGACAACGTGGTCCACCTACTGAACTGCTTGCTTGATGTGACACTGTTAGCTGAGGATTTCTTGTGGAATCTCCCTCCCCCCTCCAACCATGCTGTGCCGGCGGCGTGTTGTTGTTCTCCTTCTTCTTTACGTCCTCTTTTACCGCTTCGGGTGTCGAGGGGGATATACGGTCCTGCTTCGTGCTCTTTTGGCTGCTTCAACCATAGACACATCGTGGTCCTGTAGAGTTACTCTGATGTTATCTGCCCAAGCTGATCTTAGTCTACGTCATGCTCTACATCCCTCTCATCTTTTGGTAGATGGTTTGATTGGTATAGTATTAGAAGGCATTCTCTTCAAGTCATTCATTCATTCAGTAGCATGTCCCTCGCGGAACCTCGCTGCCATAACAACCCTCCGGAAAACCTTCCTATCATGAGCAAGATGTCCTGCGTCTGATACACCCATCTGGAGATCATCTGCCACATCCTGCACCCATCTTCTCCTTGGCCTTCCTCTTCCTTTCTTCCCAGGCATGTACCCCTCCATTATTGTTCTCTCTAGACTTCCATGACTTCAAGTAGGTAAACCATTTGATTGGCTGTCTTTTTATGAAACTTAGAATTGGTTCTGTGTCGACTTTATCTCGTATGACCTCATTGCTGATTATCTCTTCTGGTCACTCCTACAGTCTTTCTCGGATACCGCATTTCCATGGTTACTAATTTAGCGTGTTGTTGTTTGTACTCAAATGACTGCTGGCCGATTTGTGTAAAATTATATATGTATACTTTTTCTGGTGCAATGCCGGCTTCTGCGGTTGACCGTGTGCGCCAACAGTGAGGTACAGTTCTTGTGTGGGACCGTTAGTGTTGGTACATTTGACAGTTGTCTTATGCATTTTAACTTTGGTGTGCAAGCTTTAAGATTTTGCTGGGACTAACACCTTTTTCACTAGTTCTCAGATGGGGCAGTGGAGGACATTTTGTGCACTGGCACTGCGGAGCACTTATGGGAGAAGAGAACATTGGGTAGTAAAGGAGTTGGTGAGAGTACCAGCGCGAAAGTATGGCCTGTGTAGAGTTATGATAACATTGAGCCGGGTGTGCCGAGAGTGTCCAGCGGGTGCTATGGAGGATGAAGTCCAACAATTGATTCACGTCAACTCAAGCCCAGGTGATCTGATTATCTATACAGATGATTTATTGCTGAGAGGAAAGAGAAGTGCCTGGGTGTTCGTAGCGAAAGCCAATGGAAAATCTTTAGTGCAAGATAGCCTAGCATATGACACCACAACATCTAGCATGAGAATGGAGGTTAAGGCGGTAATTGCAACTTTCCGGTGGCTAGAGAACATGACGCATACACGTGTCGTAATTGTAATTCTTAAAACATGCTGAAAAAGATGAAGACATAATGCTTCGAGCAGAGTGGGAAGCTTCACTGGAAAGGTCACGGGTGGTTAGCATACTTTGGATCTTTTCTCCAGGCGACGCCAGCGTGGTGGGTAATGAATAGGTAGATAGACTGGCTGGATCCGCACCACTGGGGGGGGGGGGGGGATTGAGACAGGACAAGGCAGATGTGGCCAGGGCCCTTTAGGAACAAGCAACGGAATCAGTAGAGAAAAAAGATTATTATGGCCTGGAGAGAATGAGGCATCTGGGTGTGACCAGAAGGTCTGGCTGGCTCACCACACTCAGAGTAAAGACAAGACGGACTTTTAAACCGATTGTGACCGGTACCATCAGTATGAGAACTTTGCGTTGGCTGCTGAAGATGAGGACGGAGCATGTCGGCGTGCTGTGATGTCAATTTTTGACTCAACTTAACTAAACTCAACCGTCTACAGTTATGTTAGAACTAAGACTAACGACTATGCGCTGTTTTATTTAATCTAAAGGTTGAGGAAGTTCTAAAGCAGATACTGTCTTTGAGATGTGAAGTGTCATGTATCCAACATTTTCGAGGCAACGACAAAGGAAGTAAGGTGACCAGCTCGCAATTAAAATTTAAAAAAGATTCCCACATCAAGATGAGCTGCAGTATATTATTACAGAGTCACGAAATAAATGTTATATGCCGTCTTATAGAACGTCCAGAGCTGCATTGGCTAGCTGCATCTCAAAGATATTGTTTCTCACTACCAATACATCCAGAAAAATTCCTTAAAAATTAGTTATCTCGTCTGGTAGTCTGGTAGTCTTAGTTTCAGCTTCATAGCAAACGGGTCACTCCATATTTGCTCCGCTCCTGTGCCAACTAAAAACACACAGAATGTTTATCTGAGTATTAGAATTGCAGTTCATCATTGATGGTAGCAGAAGTCGCCAACAGATCAGCAGTTGCCCACGCGATCAATTTTAATCACATACGGGCACCACAACACTGCACGACAGGCATCGCGCCATTTTCTGAATGTACAATTCACAGCAACAAGTTGATCACAGTCGAAAAAAACATTCCAAATGCAATCCGCAGCTCACAGGGTCACACCATGCATTCAACTCAGAAGCTGGGCGACGAAACTATATCCAGTCTACAAATGGAGCAAAAATACATCGGCCACCGTCCCGCAGAAGCAAAAAAAAATTGCCTCTGTTTCGAACTGTGCCGCTGCCTAACGTCCATTTTGACCGGAATTTATCTCGTACCGATGTCCGTCTCTCTAGCGTAGTTGGCTAAACCGGATCGCGCGGTGAGCGGGTGACGAACTCCTTGCTGTCCGGGTTCACTCCCGGGGGTGGGTAGAAAAATCCACATTTCTCCCAGATTTACGGTATTTAAAATGGATTCAAGGCCGAAATTTTTCGATATCCATAATACCGAGCCTAAGGGTTAACAACTCATGGATACTAAAACAAACAACAAACATCTCGTACCGACTATTTTGTGGTTAGGCCGACCACCATAGCCGAAAAAGGAGGTCCCGCCATTTCTGGGAATTAAACCTGGACCACCGTTTCAGCAGGCGATAGCATCAGCCATATATCCCCGTGACTGGGTGTCTGAAATACTTGACTGATTTATTTTTTTCATTGCCTCGTGCTTTATGAAAGTAATGATGATACATACCTGAGATCAACGACTTCGTTTTCCTTGGCTGTGATAGTCCATTGACAGCGTGCGTTGTCGGGGTAGTTGTTCGGGTAGTTAGGCGAAGATATCACCCCGCTTTGTTCGACGAGTTCTCCCCCACATGCTATAAGTAAGAACATCCACAGTTAGCAATGGATCAATTAGACCGAAGCAAATCTTTCACAAATAACGTATCTTCTCGTACTAACGCTATTTGCTGTTAGATTAAACGAATGTGTCCTCCGCACACTACAGTATAACCTCTGTAAGCTTACTTAAGTGACTGTTAGAAGCCGGTGAGTTTACCAAAAAGATCAACATAGGGAGCTAGTCAACACAGGGAGCTGGTTTACATAGGGAGCTGGTCAACATAGGGAGCTGGTCAACACAGGGAGCTGGTTTACATAGGGAGCTGGTCAACATAGGGAGCTGGTTTACATAGGGAGCTGGTCAACATAGGGAGCTGGTTTACAAAGGGAGCTAGTTAACATAGGGAACTAGTCAACAGGTAGCTGGTTTACATAGGGAGCTAGTCAACGTAGGGAGCTAGTCAAAATAGGGAGCTGGTTTACATAGGGAGCTAGTCAACATAGGGAGCTGGTTTACATAGGGAGCTGGTCAACATAGGGAGCTGGTTTACATAGGGAGCTGGTCAACGTAGGGAGCTGGTATACATAGGGAGCTGGTCAACATAGGGAGCTGGTTTACATAGGAAGCTGGTCAACATAGGGAGCTGGTTTACATAGGAAGCTAGTCAATATAGGGAGCTGGTTTACATAGGGAGCTAGTCAACATCGTGAGCTGGTTTACATAGGGAGCTAGTCAACATAATGAGCTGGTTTACATAGGGAGCTAGTCAACATAGGGAGCTGGTCAACATAGTGAGCTGGTTTACATAGACAGCTGGTTTACATAGGGAGCTAGTCAAAATAGGGAGCTGGTCAACATAGGGAGCTGGCTTACACAGGGAGCTGGTCAACATAGGGAGCTGGTCAACATAGGGAGCTGGTCAACATAGGGAGCTAGTCAACATAGGGAGCTGGTATACATAGGGAGCTGGTCAACATAGGGAGCAGGTATACATAGGGAGCTAGTCAACATAGGGAGCTGGTATACATAGGGAGCTGGTCAACATAGGGAGCTGGTTTACACAGGGAGCTGGTCAACATAGGGAGCTGGTCAACAAAGGGAGCTAGTCAACATAGTGAGCTAGTCAACATAGGGAGCTAGTCAACATAGGGAGCTGGTTTACATAGGGAGCTAATTTACATAGGAAGCTGGTCAACATAGGGAGCTGGTAAATACAGGGAGCTGGTCAACATAGGGAGCTGGTCAACATAGGGAGCTGGTTTACATAGGGAGCTGGTCAACATAGGGAGCTGGTTTACACAGGGAGCTGGTCAACATAAGGAGCTGGTCAACATAGGAAGCTGGTTTACACAGAGAGCTGGTGAACATAAGGAGCTGGTCAACTTAAGGAACTTGAGTTTGTACTGTAGTAGCACATTAATTTTTGTGTGCCAGGTCCATATTTGTAACGATCATTCGGTACCCAGCTGGCGACGTGATCAACTTCACGCTGACTGCCTTTACTTTCCATGACATTTTCCGCTACCCATTTTCATCTCTGTATACCTGGATATTCAGGTTATATATAGAAAATCCCACTCCAATGTGAATTACAACCGAAGACCTTTAGGCCAATTCTGGATTACATACGAAGACAGCAAGTGAAATGGTTTGCCCACTTAGAGAGAATGCCCTGTGACACCATACCATACAAAGCATACATGGAAAGAGAAGAAGGACGTAGAGCACGAGGTAGACCAAGAACAATATGGAAGGATAACATCAGAGAAATTATACAACAGCACGATGTGCTTTGTTCGAGGCGGCCAGAAGAGCTAGAAATAGAACCTAATATCTCCCTCGACACCCACAGCGGTAAAAGAGGAAGTGAAGAAGAAGAAGAAGACCTTTAGGCCAAGGTCAGGTGTTTAAACATGAATATGGATGGACATGACGTGTTCACTAGTTTTCAATCGAGTGGTTAAGGCTTGCCTCAATAATTTGCTTTTAAAGATAACAGCATACAAACAATAACACTCTAATTATCAGTTGAAACAACAGTACAGAGAATGTGAAGTTGTGTGCTTAAACTAGTACTATAATAAGCATCTTCATAATGATTATCAAATGTTTTACCTGCAGCTGGTTCCATTTTTTAACACTATTGTCTTTTATGGGATGCGGTAGCTAAACCCAAGCCCACTCCTTCCCTTAGTGGCCTCATACGACATGCCTGATTGGGTGCAGTGTTACTGTTTTCACATGAGGGTCTTAGTAACTCTACACTTGATCAAAATGTCAACAGTATTGCATTAAAAAAGCGACAAACAAGACTTGTTAACAATTTTGATAAATAATTGTAAGAAATATAATCACTAAAACAATTTGATTGCAAAATTATCTAGTTTAGACATTCAATCTACGCTAATAAACTTCCCATACCTGTAGACTGACTGTGACCTGGTTTTGCTGCAACAATGAAGCACACGAGTACGGAACGTACCAGAAGCCACATCTTTGGCATCAGTACCTTTGCAGTAGTGGTCTAGTTGATTCGTTCCTTCTGAAATAAGAAGAAAAGAACACACCTATTGTTTTATACCTATTATTAAAGTAGAAAAAACACAACAAGAAATATTCCACGGAGTAAATACGACCGGTGTGTTGTTGATATATCGCCCATTCAGTTATTGAAACCAGCGAGTCACTTCCATAGTTCAGTATTATCCGTATCCTCACCCAAAGTTGACACAGATAAATTGCATTAAATATTGTTCATTCCACCTGGGCTGTTTTTGTTTCTGTACCAATTAATTTACCAGGCGTTTCTTGGTCACTACAAAGATAATATAATGCCCTTGCTGTCTTTTCTCATAGACAGATGTTATATTAACCCTTTGTATCTGAATCCATTATTATTCAGCATGTCCTTAACAAAACGTGGCTCTCTTGACGGTATGACCAAAAGTCCCTCTTTGTCTAACCACATTTTCCAGCCCTATGTGCTTTTATGGCCAATGCATCGTCAGTGTCTCTAATTCACCTTCGTAGAGGTCGGTCTCTGTCTCGCTTTCCGGAAATTGCACCTTCCATGGCGTTCTAGAATCCTACCGGTGGGTGTTTATGTGGCGTAGTGTACTTCTTTTTCTTCTGCGTTCGACATCAGTCATGCTACACACTGAGTCCCGTCTGGGTCACCAATAGGATTGTGCGTTAAAGGTCGCCACCGGTCCCCCATAGCTTCTCTTTCAATGTGGCTCCCTTGGGCCAGATCCACAGTCTTTGCTGGGAGAGGTAAGGGCAGTACTATAGTATGTGCTCAGGGGTCTGTCGTTCTGCTCCACAATCACAGGCAGCAGATTCTTTTATGCCTATCCTGTACAGGTGTGCTCGAAGATCCAGTCCGAAGTATAAAAATTGATGTTTGTTCTTTCCTGTTGAGTTTGTTTCTGCTGTCACTCTCTGGTCTGTAATCTCTATTCTGCTTTCTCCATTCCCGCTTGAAAGACTGCTTTAGTGCTGTTTTGGTACTAAATGTAGTGTAGTAAATGTAGTGTAGTAAATGTGCTGACCTTGACACGTTCGCAACAATTCTTGCCGACATTGCTCCGTTCTGACCTCCGCCACAATAATAGTCGGTAAGTGCTGGTCGGCAATGCAGTCAGTCTGTCAGTTGTTGTATTCGCGACGGCATCTCCAGATCTACTAACCGTTTAAAACTGTATGTCAGCTTGTTGGTATCCAATCAGTAAATCCCCAATTCTCAACCCCCCCCCCTCCCCCGGTGATTGTTCATGGATTTTGTCCACACAACACACACAAAGAACGTTCAGATCAGTTGTTGGCATACCCAGCTGCTGTTTACAAAAAGATGGTGGCTTACGCAGCAGTTTGTTGAAAAAGATTTCGCCCGCATGTTAGAATTTTAATTCGATGCACACGCCCGCAGGAATACACTAATCAAGAATGTTGAGGAATTTTTTTGTCTGGAAACATGCATACAGTTAATTAAAGAACAGTGAATGTACTGCTTTGGTCATCTTACAGGAATAGAGAACGACAGCGCAAAACATAGAGCGACATCAAGGATAATACTAGATAAGAGAAGATTACTGTGATTGGCACACAACCGCCCCCCCCCCCCCCCCCATTTTCACCAATCATATCTCCCTCTCCGTAGGATCGAAAAATCATCACCTGGCGATATTATTAAAATAGAAATAGTTTAGAAAAGAGAACATTAAAATAGTATTTTAAGCTCTCTCAGCTAACTGTGTCTGGTATAACCCCCCCCCCCGCCCCCTCCACCCCCCCCCCCCCACCCCCCCCCCCAAATCATATCTCCCTCTCCAAAAGATTGAAAAATCATCACCTTGCGAAGTCATATCGCCCTCTCCGAAGGACTGCAAAATCATCCATGGCGAAATTTTTAAAACAGAAATAGTTAAGAAATGAGAACTTCAAAATACTATATTAAGCTCTCTCAGCTAAATGTGTTTGGCATAACCCCCTGGTCCCCTTTTTACACCAATCATATCTCCCTCTCCGTAGGATTGAAAAATTATCACCTGGCGATATTATTAAAATAAAAGTAGTTCAGAAAAGGGAACATTAAAATAATATTTTAAGCTCTCTTAGCTAACTGTGTCTGACATAACCCTCCCCCCCCCCCCCCCCCAAACATATTTCCCTCTCCGAAAGATTGAAAAAAAATCATTACCTTGCGAAGTCATATCTCCCTCTCCGAAGGACTGCAAAATCATCCATGGCGAATTTATTAAAATATAAATAGTAAAGAAATAAACTTTAACATATTCTATTAAGCTCTCTTATCTAACTGTGTGTGGCATAATCCCCCCCCCCCCCCCCCCCCCCACCCCCCTCCCATCACATTTTCCTCTCCGAAGGATGAAAAAATCATCACCTAGCGAAATTATTAAAATAGAAATAGCTAATAAATAAGAACATTAAAATCATAATTTAAGCTCTCTCAGCTAACTGTGTCTGACATAACCCACCCCCACCCCACCCCTCCCCCTATCATATCATCCTCTCCGAAGGATGGGAAAGTCACCGTGTGACGAAATATTGTAACTAAATTGAGCTTGCCATCCGTGTCCACCCAGACTTAAATAGGTAGCATTAACTTGTACAGAGAAGTAAATGTAGCCAGTGTAACAGCTACCACATCACCCATCCAGTACCAGTACTACTGCAACCACTACCACCACCACCATCACAACAACAACAGCAACAACAACATCATCAACAACAACAACAAAAACCTCTCACTACAGTCCGTGTAGGTTGGTGTAGAAAAGAGGAGTTAGCGCCGCATGCTGTCGCCACGGACTATTTAGTTTAATGTTGCCTCCGACATAGAAAAAAAAAAAAACTTTATCATGTAACCAAAGATGGAACCCACAGTAAAAAGTACACTATACCCACGAATAGCGGAGAAAAATACCCCGCACCCGTCATCTCTCCCTCTCCGAAGAAGCGATTTTTAACTGACCTTGGCATCCGTGTCCACCCAAACTAAACTGGACTGTAAGCCGACTTAGGTAACAGTTTCTGTCATCGCCGAATAGTTTTTGATCGAAAAGCGTCGCGGGGAGGCTAATTGTGACTTAATTGAAATCGGATGTCTTTGTGCGAAAGGCGCAGATATCGCAGCCTAGCTGTAACCCACAACACAAAGTGGCAACCAGCCTTTTAAGGGGAAAAAGAACAATTATCACCCAGCGGCGAATCGAACACCAGTCACCCGCGTGAAAGATGGAATACTTAAAACTATACTACCGAAGACTGAAGAGTTTAGGTCAGATATCGAAGCCTAGCTGTAAACCACAACACAACGGGCCAACGGCCCTCTCGAGAGCGAATGAAGAATACCCGTAACAGGACCATTGAGCATCACGTCGCCGCTGTCGCAGGCTAGCTGTAAACCCAAAAACCGAAAAAGACGTAGAAATCGCAGCTTAGCCATAAACCACAACACAACGTGCCAGCCGCCCAGTTACGGGCTAAAAAAATGTAATTACCTAGCGAGGAATCGAACGCGGGTCCACATAATAAGCAGAATAGTCACCAACTGAGCTACCAAACACTCGAACATATAGTGGAAATGAGATTATATAATAATGCAAAGTTCAATTAGAGCTCGGAGGCCGAAAATAGCCAACCAATTAAAAAGAAATCCGGGCCGGCAACGAAACAAAGAATGATTTGATCGTTGCTGGAGCTACGTCGTTCGTGGTTTGTGCTATTTTCTGACAACAAATCACGCTTGGAGTCAAAGGCAACGTTATGTGCACATTTGAAAGCAATCGGTTCAGTAGTTTACGTGTTTAGAAAAAAACGACATCGGAGAATTAACATTTTTATTAATATAGATATACATATCAGCCTCACTTTACAGAGGTAGTTGGTGGAGTTCAAAAAAAAAAAAGAAGTTGAAAAGAGGAGAAAGAAAAAGATAGGATTAAAGAAGAAAACGAAGACAAAAACAAGAAGAACAAGAATTTTACTGTAACAAAAAAAAAAAGCTATTGATATTGGTCTCCGTTAAAGTCGACCCTCTATGAGTACCGTTGGTATACACTTACCTATTGTATATTGTTTGTACTGTCTCTACCTGGGTACAGTAACTCAGGACGCATAGTTCGTAACGACGCCCAGTACTTTATATAACACGACCACCCGGATTTTTCTGCAACAGGCTGCCAGCTCTGAGATTCAGTACCTAAAATCTGACCTCTACTTCTTGTGATAAACACATAAAAATTACTCTTTTACTTTTCCTTACATCCTGATTGAGAACCTTGACCTTTTCTTGTTGTGCTACAGCCATCAGCACCATCCTGTTAAAAGTATATTGTTATTTGTTCGTCACAGAGGGCTTGCAGTCTAACCCCCACTCCGTTCTAGCCTGCGAAATCTTGTTGATGTCCTTTTTTTTCGAATACGGTTCAGTATCTCTCCTTAATTTTCGGTGAACGGTTTTTCTAGGGCGTCCTTGTTTCCTCAGCCAATTTGTTTTTATTTCAGTGGTTATTTGGTGATTCTGTGCCGAATTATCCTTATTTTATGCCTATTTACCGCATTTTTTTAAATATCTGGAATTAACAAACGAATATTCTGATATTTTTCTGATCTACTCGAGACTTTGTAGGACCATTGTCAGGAAACTCTCAACCATGGGCCTTATAAAGGGAGTCGCCGCGGCAGAGCGGCTAGACGCAGGCAGCGGATAGGGAGGTCGTGGGTTTGTTCCCTGGCGGAGCCGGACTTTTCTTCAAAAAATGACTTTGACTCCTAGGTCGACCCAGCTTTGAGTAGGTACCGGGGCAGTCCCGGGAAGTAAAGGTGGCCGGAGTGATGCTGAACACATTACCCATCTTGTGCCGTTGGTCTATAAAATATAGGTCTAGCCCTATATGCCCTATACGCCTAAAGGCGTGGAAAAGGCTGCTTTACTATATTTTTTTACTGATGGGCCTAACAAAAACGCAAGACTAAAAT